AGTTATGAGAGAGTAAAGACAGCTGCCAAAAAAAATCTCAGAGCTAAGAAATCACATAGCCTGGTCTGCCAATGATGCTTCCTGGGCAAGGAAGGGGTATTAAAAGAAAGGGGGGAACACCAGATGTCCTAATGTGGTGAAATAAATGAAATCAAGCTTTCATTAATAAACTAGCCATTTGCCCGTCAAGAATAACGGGGGCGGAGGTGGGGGGGGGGGGTGGGGTGGGGTTCTGGATGGAGTGCTGCCACCTAATGCCCCATGCTGCTGCTGTTCTGCCTCTTGCAGGGAGCCTTGGCTTCCTCACCCCATCTGGTCCTCAGCATGGCTTGCAGGGAGCGAGGTGGGGGAGCCAAAGCCAGCGCTGCTGGCCTTGGCTCCCACACCCCCTGTCTGGTCCTCGGCGTGGCTTTGGAATTAGGGCAGCGCTCTCCCACACTTGGAGCACTCTGATTGGCTGTTTCCATCAGCCAATCAGAACACGAATAAAGCATTACAGACAGACAGACTTAGGCTTTTATAATATTAGAATAATAGTGTAAGGCCAAAAGAGATAACTGGATTCTCTTGTCTGACATCCCATGCATCTGAGACCCTTAATTTTCACCAAGTTACCCCCATACTGAACATCCCAAAGCATCTCTTCCAGAAAGAAATTTAATTCCGATTTAAAAATATGAAGGGAACTCATCATAACTTTTTTCAAAAAACCAATCTTCCCTTCTGTTATAAACATGCACTTTTATTCCTGATTTGAATTTCTCCAACTTCAACTTCCAGCCGCTTCTTCTTGCTCTGTCTTTAAAGAGCCCTGATATCCAGCATTTCGTCCCCATAAAAGCATTTACTCACCGTAGTCATCTTGCCTCTCAAGATACTTTTTAGTAAATTTAACATATTAAGCTCTTTATGGTCTCAAACAGGCACTCATTTCAAGAGATGGAAGTTTCTGACATCTTTTCAGGAGGGAAAGCAGTACAGGAGTTTAGCCTGCAGCTTACCCCTCTCCCCTGCTCTGTGTGCCTTCCCCAGATGAGGGCCATCCTGGTCTGAGGAATTTGTGGGAAGCAGCTGCTGCTCCAGTCCCCTCAGACCAGTTCAGAAAAGGACTGGAGTAGCAGGACAAAGGGTCCAAGCTATTCCCCAGATGCAGCGGTTGGGGGGAAAGGGAGCAGCTGCTTTTTCATGCAGTGGACAAAACCCTGTCCACTCCCCAGACTGGGGAGACTGGTCTGGGGAGGAGCCAGGGAGCAATGGGTGGCTGTTCATCCTCTCCCAGTCTATGGGAGAGATGGGAGCAGTGGGGTAATGCCTTCTGGGGCTGGGATGACCCCAGTTTTGGAAAGCATAGGATCCTCTCCCCACGAGGAGTCCCAAGACGAAGCAGCTTACAGGTGTTCTTTCCTGTGGAAGAAATTCTCCAACAGGCGACAACTCCCTTGTTGAAAGAGGAAGATCCTCCCCCACAGAAAGCATTTTTCCTGCAGAAGACATTTGATAAATGCCCGTACACTTGTGATTTCTGTTGGGAAACTGGTGATTCTCCAGCTAGAAATTTAAAGCCTGTACATGACCTAATTTTCTCACTGCAAGGCATTTTCTTTAAGTCCTTGATTCATTTTTTGTAGCCCTTTTCTTCGCATCCTCTCCAATTTTTCAACATCCTTTTTAAATATAGACAGCATCACTTTAAGGAGTATTTTAGTATCACTCATGTCATTGCTATATACAGAAGAAAAAAAAAAAATCACCTCTCTCTTCCTAATGATTCATCCCCTGTTTACACCTCCAAAGATTGCATTAGCAATCTTTGCCACAGCATCACAGTGGGAACTTGGGAACTCATGTCGAGTTGCTTATTCACCACAACCCTTAAATGCTTTCAGAATCATGGCTTTAAGGAATACAGCTCCCTCTCCTGTAGGTACAGCCTGCATTCCTTGTTCCTACAAAAATGACTGTGCCTTTGGCTGTATTAACTGCATTTTGTTTCAACAGGCCTAGCTTACCAACTGATCTGAATTGCCCTGTATGACTGACTTATTCTCATCTTTATTTACCATTCTGCCAATCTTTGTGTCAGCTAAGAACAGCAGTAATACCACAAAAAGACACAAAGCAGCAAGAAAGAAGGGATAACAACCAGAGCCAGAGCAAGCATTTTCATTCCCTGGTGCTAAAAGAAACAACCAGCATCTTCATCAATGGTTTTGCACAACGCTTTTCAGAATCTACATCTGGAGCAGTTTCAACATATAATCCTTCAGAAAATGCAGACGTCTATAGTGTACCAAACAGAGCAATTAAAAAATATTTTTCTAAAGCAAGAGGAAATCAGGACATTTAGTGCCTGTGAAGTGGTGTCACACTGACAGCCCAGAGAATATAATGCAGTTATTAATCCACAGAAATGGTCCACCAGGGTGACTGCCCTAAACACTTAATATACAGAAAGCTATAAAGATTAGTCTTCATCACAAATTTGATTCCTGGACTCTCAGCTGATTTTGCACACAACGGTGTCTATCAGTGCTTACTTAGTTTAGCAATGTCCTTTAGCTGTCCTCTAGGGCCTGGACTGCGATCGAATTCATTTCATACAGAGCATCAAACAGCAAGATGAAGATAACCTATCACCTAGGCTGAACTTCAGCTACCCAAACGTGAAACGCTCTCTATTCTGTTACTGATCACCCAAAATGTCCAATTCCCACCCTTACAACAATGCCTATAAATAAGATTGGGGGCAGGGGGGAGAAGCTGTCATAAAAGAAACCCACCAAGTTCAGTAAGTTCCCACGCAAGAAAACTACGGGTAGCAAGTATATCTGGGCCAGCAGTGAGAAAGCAGCTAGACCAATACTTCTAAACAGAACTCCGTCAGCCTCACTTTGAGACCCCTTCACGCAGTTTTAGGCGTCTTGCTCTATTTCCAGTTATCACGAGGTGCTTGCACATGTGACGGGGGTCTAGTTCTTCGTAAATGGAAACAGTGGGTTTTTAATTATGTTGTTTAAAAACCCACCATTTCAATTTAAGGAGAACAAAATCTCCGTCGCGTGTAAAAGGGTGAGGGGGCCCAATCCCCCCACCTTTTTTTCTCAGAGCCTACCTGCCCCTCCTGCGGGGGGGGAGGGAAGCGGTGAGCTGCCAGCAGTGGCCTGAGCAGTCCCTGAGCTGCAGGGGACCCCAGTCCTTCCCTCCACGGAAGCAGCGCCCCCAGGCGTCACCAGCCTGCTAACACTCAGTCCAGGTGATCCTAGGGGGGCCACCACCGTGGAGGGAAGCACCAGGCCCTGCGCAGCTTAGGGGCTGTGCGACCCAGCGACAGCTCATGCAGGCAGGCTCTACTGAGGAAAAAAAAGTGGCGAGGAACCTGATCTTTTATTTTTCTCCCACAGCCTGCCTGCCTGAGCTGCACAGGGCCCAGTGCTTCCCTCCGCGGCAGCAGCACCCCCGGGCAGTACCCGCCTGCTAGCAGCCCACCCGGATCAGGCTCCTCACTGTGGGGACGGTACGCGACATGCTGGAAGCCTGCCAAGCCCAAGCTTCCCCGAGCACATCAGCTTGCAGCGCCCCATGCACTGTTGCACTTTGTTACATAGCAAACTAAAATACCTTGGAGGGGTTTCATCTTTCTACATAACAAAGTCATTTAAAGCAGAATACGCCACCAAGCATGTACATCGTCACAAAATTAAAGCAGAATATGTCGCCGAGTGTGTAAATAGCAATGCCATTAAAGCGGTGGAAAAGGACAATTAAGTTTCTTTAAAAGTCAATTTTGTTGTGTGTACAAGCACCCAAGATTCAGTCAGGTTTCATTAAATTAACTTGAAAATTAGCTACACACTGCAGCATGACTTAGCTTTCCATGCTAAATTTAATCAATCAGAGATAATGAAACATAGCTATCTTTATAGCAAGAGTATTGCAGAATACCCTGAAAAATCAATAGATCTGCGCTATAACAGATGACAAGCAGAGGGACAAGGGTGAGAGAAGCATCCAAAGAGGATAATTCAGTGGTAATATTTTAAGATCCTGACACAAATATTGCAGCAGTTCTCACTACTGATCCTTAGAAGACAGGAAGGAGCAGCAGAGAAAACCTCCCCTCCCCCCCCAACCAACAAAAAATAAAAAACACCTTTTCCCATTACTCTAGATTAAACATGTCGCTTTTATGTGTATGTACAGACTGGGCAAGTGATTCAACAGAAAAGTACAGCTGGCAATGTAAGAACAGTCACTTTGGGTGGCCAGAACCTTTTAACCTTCTGTAGCTGGACACAGAAAAATGGAAAAGCCAGTCTGGGAGTTCAAATATCGTTTTCCAATTTAAGCAGCACTGGCCTTTACATATTTCAAAAAAGAGAGAATACAAACTATCACAATTAAATAAGAACTCAACTGTACTTTGGAAGCTATTTGTAAGTTTTGATCCTTGGTCTAACAATGTATTATAAAAACGTAATGCTAATTCATCTTATCTATATTTAACAGCCAACAAATTTTTACTAGTTCACTTTGGCACTCATTAATTAGAATGAATTCTGGCAATATTAGATCTGTGTTGGCAAACGGAAGCCTAGCACACACAATTTATCTGTAGAAAATACATGGGATTTTTTTTTAGGTTTTGTTTTCTGCTTGAAGAAAAAAAAAATAGCAACCAATGGCACTACTATCTAAAATGAAGAGTAGAAGCTCATTATACCACTTTGGGCCAAAGTTACGCAGACCTCCAATAACTCACTACACTAAGACATGCTTATACGTACAAAAATTATCAAGTATGTAATGATGCCTATTTTGTCATTGCAAATCTAGTCACAAGTTCAGTATAATGAAAGAAACATGATCAAGATACTAAATCATTTATACTCCACTCTTCCATGAAGGTACCTCTTCTGTATACTATATTACATTGAACACACCAAGATGCCACAGATTAAGCTCATCTGCTGAAATATTAAAGAAGCAGTACAATAACTTACAAGATTTTCCATGTCAGTGCGGGCCAACATGTATGTCCGAACATTGCTGTTCTGATGCAGTAACATGTATAAAAGGAGAGTCGCTTGATCAGATTTTTGCTGTTCGCACAAAGCTGTGTACAAACTGTTAAAATTAATCTGGAAAGCATGTGGACTTGGTGAAGGAAAAGCAGTGCTATCTGGAATAAAAAGGGCAAAAACATTAAAAAATATATTTAATCACCCAGTTATGTTTGTTTTACAAGCACTTAAGTAGTGTTTGAACAGGCACCACAGTAAGGACAGGAGCTGTGCACAACATTTATCTGCAGAAGTCATGACAACCATCCTTGACTCAACTTTTACACATACTTAAATCTCAACCCCAAACTCATTCAATTATTGCATCAGGAAGGTACAATTACTCTCCCGAATAAGAACTGGTAAACTTCCTTCCCCAAGTTTGCCTTCTTTGCTCCTCCTGCCTTCCTCACAAGGCATCCCTGGACTAAGCAGTCTTAAGCTTCGGTCCCCAATTCAATTCCGCAGAGATTCAACCCAATTCAGTGACCAAATCTCTGAATCCGAACCAAATCACAGGACCCTTTAAATCTCTCTGAATTGAATCAGAATCCTCTGAATCGATTTGGAGAGATCTGGTGATTTGGAGATGGGCACAGCTTTAAATATTTTTTCTACATACCTCTAGGTAGCAGGGGCTTGTGAGTGCTGCAATACTGGGGCGTACGGAGCATCCCACAGGAGCAAAGGGGGCTCCCCAGTGCGTTTTGCAGCAGACCCAGAAGTGGACCAGAAGCACTTCCAGTCCACTTCCGGGTCTGCCAGGGAGTGCACTGGGCGCCTCCCCACCCCTCCAGCTTAGCAACTGATGCCTCCTGGGGGGCACATCCAGGGTCCCCCCATGGCCAATCACTGAGCTGCAGGGGGGGGAGGAGGGAGGGCACAGAGCCCCCCCGCCCCACACCGCGTGCTCCTCGGCGGACCTGGAAGTAGACTGGAAATACTTCCAGTCCACTTCGAGTTTGCCACTGAGCATGTTGAGGGCCCCCCACACTTCTGAGAGACACTCCATGCGCCCCAGTCTTGCAGCGTTCAGGAGCCGCACTGGTACCTCGAGGTATGTAGAAAAAACTTTTAAAGCTGTGCCTGTGTCCGAATCAGCACTGAATCTTCCGTTTCAGCCGAAACAAAAGCAGGGACAGTGATCCAAATCAATTAATCTGATCACTATCCCTGATTCGGGCTGAATCCAAATCCGAATCAAATAGGGCCTGCTTTGCATACCCCTAATGTTTACTAAATGTGTAAAATTAATCAACTCAGAATGGTGTAAGCAATCCATGGCTTCTAATACTTATGGAGTTCCTACCATCAATAGGATCCTTCTGGCTCTGATGCCTTCCCATTTCACATTGCTTTATGAAGTTAGAGAGAGCTTTGCAGAAATCCTGGATATGCTGCAGGAAAGCAAGCTATGAAACTCCCTAACAAGTGAATGGTACAGTGCCATTCTACATCTAAATACTCTCTGCCTGTCAAGAGTTTTGGTCTGAGAAAATCAAGTTCAAGAATTTCTCCTATGGACCTCAAGGAGCAGGATTCTATTATAGCATATGTTGGAAGGGGCAACATTTTAAATAGTCAGGACAAAACAATAGCATATTTTTTCACTTCATTCTAAAAAATTAAGAAAAGGTACCAACCTTGTGTGTTCTTGAAGGACATAATAGCTTGCTTGTATGGATTTGGTGAATCTGGTGCATCAGTCAAATTAGCTAGCACAAGCAGTAGCAGAAGGCTTTGATTTGCTAGAGGTGAGGACTGTTCCTGTTGTGGTGTTGGTTTACTTCCCACACCACCCAATGTGAACACCGTCCACAAGCCAGCTAAAGAAGGATCAAAGAGGAGACAGTATTACAACACATACATAATACAATTTTAGGGTACATTGGTATGTCTATAGCATAACAGAGGAGTACTCAGACATAGCACTGAGAAGTAATTACATAGCAAGGTTTTGAAGGAGTGGAGATTAAATCTGAGATAACAGGACATAAAGCCACTGAAGGGATTCAAGAACAGGAGACTGATTTGGTTGGTGCACTGGAAAAGGAAATGGCATTTGTATAATGCGGCAGCAAGCAGCAAAATCACCTTTAAAACATGCATCTAGTCCATTAAGAAATTTTAAAAACATTGCATATTTTAAGCATAACACATTTCAGGAAAAGCACCAAAGAATTTCTAGTACTTTCAAAACTTTAATATTAGATATAGAGGATACTATGACTATGCAGTCAGTTTTAGGTGGATGTCATGTCTTTGTATTGGATAAGACAAACCTGAGAGTAGTTAACTTCAATTTTATGTTTTAATTGGATCCATGATTTGATTTTTAGTTTCCTAGAGAAGACTATAAATGACAAACTTGAGGAGTCCTAATACTTCAGTACGAGACACTTTTGCTGCCTTAAGACTTTTCTAATTAATGGACTGTACAGCTATTTTAAAAGATAGAAACTAGGTTGCCTATAGCCACTACGCTTCACGTACACTATTTACTAGTGATACTGCTAGGAAGTAGTCACCCTGATTGGTGCCCTCTAAAGAACTGATAGCTTTCAGTTTTGACCCTTCTCTACAAAAAACAGTAGTTAATTTAAGAAAAATCACACTAATGCTATGCTATTGTTTCACAAGAACTGCCACAAAGAAGACAAAAGAAACTGTTCTTTCCTGTTGTAGAGGGCAGGGCACGTGGCAATGGGCTAAAAGTGCAGCAGAACAGATTTACAACAAATCTCAGGAAAACACATCCTAACTACATTAACAGCAAGACAACAAACAAGCTGCCTGGGGAAGTTGTGGAATCTCATTCATCGGAGACTTCCAAGAGGTTGGATTAGCATCTATCTAGGTTGGTTTAAGAAGAGCAGATCCTGCATCTGTACAGAGAGCTGGAGTAGACGTCATGTGAGGTCCCTTCCAGCTCTATGACATTACCCACAAGACAAGCAGTAAGAAGAGCTGAACATCCATCCTAATTTTAAGGACCGTGTAAGATGTTTGTACAAGAAATTAATTACACAATTACCAACTAATCTAAACACATATTTAAAATATTAGAAACTGATTCTGTCTGAAACAAGTTAACTGTATCATATACCTGAAGACTTCACATACCATATTTTCCAGAATGTTTTGCATGTAAGAATATAATATGCTTCTTGTTTTTTAAAAGCAAAATGAAGGGGCAGGGAAAGACCTTTCCCTGCAGTAAATAACTGAATAGCAGTAGCTAAGGAGCCTGCTCACTGTTCTGCTCCCTACAGATTTTACTTTTGGCTTCCCACAGTAAGGTGTAAAACCTGCTCTTACTTGAATATAATGCACACTCCAATTTCCAGAAGCTGTTTTTTGTGGGAAAGGTGTGTTGCATACAAGAAAATACAGTAGCAAAGACAGAATGAAGGCTCAGTGTTCAACCTAAGTTTTCATGTTACTTAAGCTTTGATGCTTAAGTCTGAAATCTTAGCTTCATGGGTTTTAGTTTTCTGCAGAAAGTTAGTTGTGATGGTTTAATACTTGAAATGCCTCCTTATAATAGTGCGGGAAGCAGAGTTGATCAGCTACATGCCTTTTTAGCACTTAATACATGTCTTAGCATACCCCTATTTCAGCATACAGCAAAACAGAAATTGACCATGTCGTCATAAGGTTTCAGGCTACTTTATCAGCATGATCTTGAAATTCATGGCTGCCAGCCATGCAACAAATAATTCTACCATGAAATACTACATTAGTCACAACATGGAAACTAAGAATTTAAAATAAAATACATTATATAATTTTCTAATTTAAAGAAAGCATTTACATTTACATAGATGTACAGGATACAAAAGTCTATAACAAGCCTTCTGAACTTAAAGCAGAAGTATGCCCTAGTCAATAAAAACAGCTTAAACTATCAATTGGCTTTGCAAAAAAAACCCTTCATTAACCAAAATGGCATTTTTCTTTAAAAAAAACAACATTCAGATTCAGTAATAAATTAACACTCACTTCTTCAGTTGCAAGCTAATTATTCCATTGCCAAAGGCAAGGGAAATAATGCCATTCAGAGCTAATTAGCTTGAAGGAGTCCCCGTAACAAAGAGCGTTGTAATTAGAACCTTCTTAACTACATTTCATGTTACATTAATAATCCTTTATCAGCAAGTTTTTGATCAGTTGTCCCAAAATCAGAACAATGTGGTTTAATACAAATGCTGTACAACATCAACAGTGAAGTGGGTTTTTAACTCATGGTAGAGCCATCCAGAAATGCAATTTGGCTGGACACATTTTGCAAAGGGTACTAAAAAACTGAAATAACCATCTATTTTTATCTTTACTTATTAACTGAATTTAAGCATAGCACATTTTCCCCACTTTAAGCCACAGCTTTGTTAAGTAGTCAGTGTTCTCAGCTAAAACAAGCATTTTTTATTTTCCAGCAACCTAACCATAGCTGATATCTGCCTTTATACTACCTTCCTTTTGTACTGAAAGAGAAGGAGGCACATAGGTCTGTACACTGCCTAGCAATTTGTAACCATAACCATCCACCATGGAGAATGAAATAATGATATCCATGAGGATTCTAAACATTAACGTATGACCAAATATCCTCCTGAAGCTCGCTCTCTCTCTTTTGGTAAAATTGTCTCGTCTCTAGAACAGCACTATAATCCTAAAAGAAATTAACATTCATTTCAGGTCCAAGGGGCAACTTAAAATTTTGGCACCGACTGTTACGAGGAGGTATCCCTGTGATTCTCCAAGCCAACAGTCTTAAACAACACATTTCTTCCTGATTAAAGAACTCAAATTAAAAGCACTGAAATGAGCAGCTAATCAAAAATAGATCAGTGAGGTTGGGAAAGCCAACAAGATAGCTACCCAAGCTTAAATACAAGAACATAAACACTTCCAGGTTCACACCAAGACTGCATATGCACATTTGAATGATCTGAGAGAATTCTCCCAAGTTTGTTTTCCTGGCAGAAAAAATTTACCTGGAGATGCCTGAACAGATGTCAGGACAGCCAGCTTACAATGCAGACATTGTACAGTCAGGGGGACCCTGGGCACACATCTCAGCATGCTCTGCAAGCTCCCTAAGTCTACCTGGAGACAGATGGCAAAAATGTACAGGTAGCGCTGATTGGCTGACCCAGACTGTTCAGGGTTGGCTTGCGTCTCCCTGCAGCACAATATGGGGATTGTGAAGGGAGCATGTACTTCTCCCTTGGCTGGAGTAGCAGAATCCAGTAAGCAACACATTGTTTCCCAAGGGGGAGGGGCCAGAACTAAACACCCTAGGAATGTTCAGTGGCTTTTCTCAGAAGAGAATGCACACAGACATTCACTTCCTTAGGAGAAACTCTCCTGGGAGTGATTTAACCCTGGTTGTTCCCAAGTAATTTTTCTCCTGGACTGGCCATTCTTGCTCTGGGAGAAAAATCCTGAGCATCTGTAAACTTATAGTTTCTCCTAGGAGAGCAGCAGCTATGTTGACCATGGTTGTCAAAACAATTTAAAATGGAAGGGTTCCATACTGACCTATAAGCTGTCAAGAGGATGTGCTTGCTATATGTAACACCACATCTATGATGAAGCTTACATTGTAAGAACAATGATGGATTAGATGTGCTGCTCGAAGATTTTTATATTCACAAATTATGTTTACATTTAAATATGTGGTCACATCTACTTTCTGAAGTTAACAGTCCCTAAAAGTGAAAATAATATAATATGTAAGGTTACCTTCTTTATCATCTACTCATTGACCTATGATACGCAAACACTTTCTTTAAGGTTAGCAAACGTGTGAACTTTTTAAATTATTTTGATAAACAGTATGATTTTTTTTATAAAAGTTGTTGAAGCTGAAGATATACCTGTAACTTAGGGTAGACATATAAAAAAAATGGTTATAGCTACCCCCAAAACACACTGAAGAAGTTCAGAACTAATACTACATTTCAAATAAATGCATTAAAAAGATGCAGACATCCAAAATTAAGGAACCAAGTCAACCTTAACTCTGCTGTTTTCAACACCATGAGAGAGAGCGCGAGAAATTGAATGCGTTTTAATCTGATATAGTAATCATAATTATTTATTAATCATGACTGCAGTGCTATTGCATGACATCATTATAGCATGGAGTAAATGTCTGGATGTTTTACCATTTAATATTTGGATTTCTTTCAAATTTAATCTTCATTTTCTATCTGCTCCTATTCTCCTTTTAGTTGTTTTGTGAATATACAAATTGTGAAAGGATTAGATAAAAGTTTTCTTAAACCTGGCTGCATCACAGAATTTGATAAACAATAGCTGTGACTCAAAATAAATAATTTTCCCCAAGAAACATGGGGAAAGCAGGGCAGGAAGGGACCTCATGAGTTCATCTAGTCCACCCCACTGCTCAAGGCAGGAGCCAGGCATCATTCCTGGCTAAATTATCCCAGCCAAGTGTCTATCTAACCTCCTCCAAAAGAGTTCCAGGAATGGAGACTGCAAAATTTCTCTAGGTTAACTGTTCCAACATTCAACCACCCTCATAGTCAGGAAGTTCTTCCTAATCTTCAACTTAAATTTCTCCTGCTGCAGTTTGAAGCTATTGCTCCTAGTCCTATCCCCTACAGCCACAAAAAAAAGTCTATCGCCATTCTCTTTATAACCACCCTCAGGTATTTTAAAATATCAAATCTTCTACAGACTAAAAAATCTTAGTTCTTTCAGCCTTTCTTAAGGCATGTGTCTCATTATGTGCTGATTCTGCCCACAATAGGAAGACTCTTGAGTGATGACCTGAGAGGTGCTTCATTTTCCTATA